CACCCAAAACTTCTTCTTGTTATTATTTTTTTTTTATCATATTTTACAGGGGAAAAAACCGGAAGCCCTTTACAAAGTGAAGGAGCCCGAGGTGCGAAGATTTGTCGAGAAATGTCTTGCAACAGTTTCAGACAGGCTATCCGCTTGGGAGCTTCTGAATGACCCATTTCTTGAGGTCGATGATTACACTTGCGAATTTAGACCGTTGAATTATCAAAGCGATTATGACGAGATCGTCCCTTTCTTGAGACAACCGCTTTTGCTTCAGCATCACAGCAAGAACAGTTCTTTAGTCAACGGGTATTCTAATTGCATTGATTACGAGCGAGAGAATGAGTTTGAATTATTCTTGAGTCACGAGGATGATTGTTTGGAAAATGTGGGCATTGCTATCAAGGGGAGAAGGAATGAGGATGGGAATATCTTTTTGAGACTCAGAATCTGTGATAAAGAAGGTAAATGTTGCATTTTTTTTTTCATTTTTTTTCGAAATATTGAAGACCATGATATTTTTTTGTTGATATTGAGTAAATAGGTCTTCGGAAATGTTTGTGTTTTCTCCGAGAACCGATTTGTTGCAGCTAAAGCTATAGTAGTTGAATAAAAAAAAATCGAATCTTTATGTCTCTAAATAGAATCTTTTTTTCCCCCTTAGGTCGAATTCGAAATATTCACTTCCCGTTTGACATTGAAACCGACACCGCCTTTAATGTCGCGGCCGAAATGGTTGCTGAGCTGGACATAACCGACCAAGAAGTGAGCAAAATAGCCAAAATGATCGATAACGAGATTGCTTTCTTGGTGCCCGACTGGAAATCGGGCTTTAGCGAACAAGAAGGAAATGTTTTCTGTCAGAATTGCTGTTCTGATGATTCTATAGTGGGCCTGGGCCACTCATCCTCATCTCACGGGCCCATTAAGGGCCGACAATGTTCTCAATGCTCCAAACATGGATATGGGTCCGTGCATGGCCGGTTTGAAGAGATCATGGACCGAGTTGAAGGGCCCGAGGATTGCATTTCCGATTTTGCCCCTGATAGCTCGGGTCAAAATCCTCTCGATAATGATGAGGATAAATTGTGTGGGGATGACGAGACTATGCAAAAGCTGAGGTGGTTGAAGGCCAAGTACAAAATGCAGCTAATGGAGCTCACAGAAAAGAACTCGCATTTTAGTCGAGAGGTTTATAGTTACGAGCCTCCGTATAAATCTTGCAGTCCGGTGCACCTTGCCACGGGCAAGAGTTTTTATTCCAGTGCTATGCACCCACACGCACTTCACAGGGCGACTTCCCAAGCGATTGATGCCGCAGAATTTTAGAAACGATTGTCGATGATTATACATTGTTGTTGTATTATTTTTTATAAAATTATGGACAATTTGACAAGTTGGTTTTGTTGAGAGTTACATGTAGTGTGTGGTGTTGGTGCAAGGTTTGTTAGCAGCTTGTAGATTTTTCAACTTCAAATGAAAGTGGTTTTCACTTGAAGTTGCTAGGATTTGGTATATTACTAACTGATTTGTATAAATAACAATTATTGCAAAATTTGGTCATGAAAGTGAAATAGACCTTCTTGTGTTTACCTGCAAAAGGGGGAATCTCATGCGCCTTGTTTGTATAGCGAACACTCTTCAAACCCAAAAGTTTGGTTCAAAAGTTAGATTATGAATTGTCTTGCTTGTGATCTTGGACTTTTGTTTTCTCCTCTGTACTCGCATGTTGATGCCTAAAAGCAAATTGATTAATCAACTGCGTAATTGCAAAATTTGGGTAAGAATTCTGTTCTAAACGATTAATATTCAGGTTCTTAGCCT